TCTATTTACGGCAACCCTAATCTAAAAACTACCATCGTTTCACTATCTACACAATAACACATGTCTACAAATCAACTGAGAACAAAAAAAATATAGGAGTCCATATTGATTTTTCATACATGTTAACAAACAATATTATATCGTGGTTATAGGACAACAAAAACAGTGTCACTACAATCAAGCAATATGATCGGAAGGTTGGTTCTTATGAAATCATGAAAAAAAAAAAATTCTTGGTATGTAAACGGTACGACTTATGTCATCTTCTTTGTGAAATTTTCGGATAAATCACGTAAAAGTTATATTTTCTATATATTAATTGAACAGACACTAAACGAAATTTTTTTGTTTTTTTCTCTTCAATATTTTTGGAAGGTCTCACTAAGTGATAAAATCTTATGTGTCATTCAATGAGAATTTTAAAGAACATATTATTAAATTTAACCAATCAAAACTTTTCAGTTAAGATTATATGTAATGGTAGAATTATCTACATGTTTTCATTAATTTAATAACAAACCTCATTAATACATTTTTTACAAATTTAAACTCAACTAAACGTAATATTTATGATTTATCATACACCTCTTTTAATTTATTTTCTGATATATTAACAAAATTTGATAAATATATTTTATGTCTTATTATCTATTGCGTATATATTTATTTAAATTAGTATACTATACATATATTTTATTATGATGTAGTCTATTTTATATATTTAATCACATTTACAAATATGTATATATTTTATTATTGAAAAACATATATTTTGTTTCGTTTATTATGTCCGACAAATTCATATAAATTTAAAACTTAGTTGATTTACCGTATGCTATATAGTTTACACAAATAATGAAGATCAACTTTACGCTTAAAATATATTAAAATAAATGACATTTGCTTATGTTTCAATCAATTTTACAGATAAAAATATTAAAACTCGCAGCTGGAACAAAAGTATTCAACTTCATGCACAATACATATCATTTTGTACGTTTATAGATATTAGAAATTATTTGTTTTGTCATACACGTTTAAATATTAAAATAATTGTATGTATTAAAATAGATTAGTCAACATATATATTTATTTAATCCAACTTTTAGCGTGTGTCAAAATCTAGTTAATATATTAATTGAGGAGACACTTACAAGAAAATCTTAGTTGTCAAGCAAAAAAGAATTTAAGAAACACATCAATTAAATCAACCAATCAAAATATTTCAATTAAGTTCATATGTCATATTAGAAATCTCAACATATTTACATTAAATTTTTAACATGGTCTCACAAATACATATGTTATAAATTTAAATTCAACTAAAATATTACAAAATCTTTATATATTTACACAGCGTTTTAACAATGAATCATTTAGTGATATCAATTACTTTTATAAAATTGTATTAGTGTCCATTTGGATACCATATTTGATTGATCATACACTTATTTTTTAATATCGCTTAATTGTATCCTTATTACTCTAACAAAAATTGCGTTTTTGTTCTAAACATACAACTTTACAAATCAAATTTGAATTTTAAAAAATCATCATTTTCACTTTGTATTATTTTTTTATTTTTTTATTTGAAAAGATTTTACATACTAACGCGATTTTTTTTTTAGTTTTGGTGAATTCAAATAAGTTTGATAGAACCGATAATCTTATACTTATTTGATTTACATCAAAAATGTTTATATATATTCTAAGAGTCATACAAATTGAATTTTGTAAGATAAAATACATTTATGTATATGAGAGATATA